ATTGTCATCTATCTATTTAATTATTCCTACTTTTAATATTCTCAACAAACCAAAAACCCCTATTTCCCTTTACTTTATTTTGAACTAGTCAAAAGGAAAAGAACATTGATTGAACTATCTCTCTATGGGATCGACCCTAACTTGCCCTAACTATAGTTTGTAATTAGGTCCAATGAGGAGAAAATAAATATATAAATTTTTCGATGATACGAAATGTTGTTAAATAAATAAGGTTATGGCATAAAGACTAAACAAAGGGGCGATATAATGATAGCATTGAAAATGTTCCTTTAGGAAATGAATAGAATCTAGAAAATATGAAAATAGTACAAATCAAGTTGAAGGCAACGAGACTCGGTCTAGTGGTAAATACATTTCAACACGTGTCAATACTTATTGAAGGCACATAAATAATTTTGTAATGGGTTCAATAATAAACAAAGGGGAATAAAGATGATTTAAAGTCCATGATCATAACTAAGGGCAATATGACCTAATGATAAGGGGTGGAATCACATTCCTATGAGCGAGTGGAACAACAACAAGCTAAAATTATATTTGTTCTAAAAGCTCTAGCAAACTAGTAGTTGAAACACAAAATCGATCCGATTATCTAAATTCGAGATGAAGAGTTGAGCTTTACAAGATACGATCTATACTTCTCTTAAAAGTATTATCCTTATAGAATTCATAATGTATTGAGTATGGTAACAAACAAATCCTTTCCTTTTATGGCTATTCATCATAAGCTTTTTAAAAAAAAAATGTCTAGGTGATCACCCTATCTAGATGACCAAATTTCAAATATATATATATATATATGTCTAGGTGGTCACCCTATGAAGATGACCATTCAAAAATTAAAAAAAAAATTATCGGGAGGTCACCTTTTAATAGTTGATCATTTGGCAAAAAGTCATTTTATAACAATAAATCAATTATCGGGAGGTCACTCTATAACAATTGATCAATTGCTAGAAAGTCACCAAGCAATAGTGAATCGATTGCTAGGAGGTCATCATGCAATAGTTGACCAATTGTTAGGAGGTCAACTCCGTAATAGTTAACCAATTGCTAGAAGGTCACCTTGTAATAGTTAATTAGTTATTAGGAGGTCATCCTATAATAGTGAATCAATTGCTAGAAGATCAACCTATAATAGCGAATCATTTATCGAAATTCATCTTGTAATAGTAAACTATTTGCCAAAAGGTCATCCGATAATAGTTGACCAGTTGCCGGAAAGTCATCATGTGATAGTTGACCAATTTTTTTTTCAAGCTAGGATTTCACCCTACAATTGTTGATCAATGTATCTTCTTAGTCATATATCCTCTTTACAAGCTTACTAAGTCAAGATAAACGAAGACTTGTCTTCTTACATCCTTAACATGTATGCATTGTAAAGAAAGAGCAACTATCACCATTTTATTTTTATCCCATAAACATGCAAAAGAGAAAAAAGAAAGAAAAATGAACACAAAAAAAAAAGTAAAAAAATACAAAAAAATAAAAAAAGAAACAAAAGAAAGAAAAATGGAATTGGGAATATACTTAGACAAGCATGTGGTAGGCATTGGGCTAGATTGTTTTTGTCTGATTAATAACACAAAAAGGAAATATCAGAATAGAAAAAATCATAAACCAATCCTAGATGCACACATATAAATAGCATGCATAAACACACAAAAGACACACTGTCACCTAAAGATAAAAATCCTAGTAGCTGAAGAAATCTAGTTGTCGTTCACCATCAGTCAACCACCGACTACCATGAGGCAAACCATTGTGATTGTCTAGCCAAGACAATTCCAATGCTGCAACAAGAAACCAATATTGACCACAGATGAACGAACACATGCCGATTGAAGTTCCAACATCTTTGTTGCTACTTGATCACATTTTGGTCTCTAATTTTTAATTTAGACAATTACACTCATGTTTTTATGATTTTTTTATTTAATTTTCATCCAAATCTTGTTATATTGAACGATTACTTGATTGATTAACATGCTTTTCGAGCCAATATTGTTATTAACATAAGATTCAGAAGATTATTGAATAAAAATATCTTGATTAAAAGGATATAATTGAAAAAAATAAAACTCGGCTATACTTTGTGATTTTTAATAGATTTAAAAGAGATTTAAATTCAAGGCTTTGTAATATTTGTGTGATCTAAAATTTAATCAGATTAGATTAGGGTTTTGATATATTACTATTTTTAATTATTATTTTTACTTGTTATTATTTTTAATAAAAAAAAATTAAGGGTTGGACATACTATACAATAGTTTTAATTTTTATATGAGCAGTCCTTGAGAAACTATGGGACGATGATAAAGCTAGCAACATGGTAGTAATTTTTTCTAAAAAAACTAATATGAATTAATAAGTGAAAGACCTTGCAAAGGCTTTTAGTTATTTTGTCATAGTGTTTTTTTTTTTATGTGATTTTTGGTTTTACATATTAATTTTATTATATCTTGTATTTTATGAGTTTATTTTATGATATTAGCATATTTCGTACGTAAAACCGACTTTGTATAACCAAATGGCAGTAGGGTGCTTGATGCTTTTGGAACTTGAAACTCCAAAAACTGCCCATCATGTATTCATCATTTTCTCATGTATTAAAAGATTAAAATATTTTCCTATGTCATGTTTTCCTTTTCCCCTTGATTGTACAAGCGAGACCTAAGCTTTTTTATTTTATTAAATACTCCTATATAATTTTCCAACCCGAACAAGTTTACGGTGTATGTTAAATAAAATAAAATGTGAAATGTGAAACAAACTAAAACGATGCACTAATAATTAAAGCAGTCAAGCACGGTTCCTTAAAATAATTTTCTTTAATTTTTTTGTCAAAAGGATTTTCAAGTTTTATATATCGAGGCTACGTACTGATTCAGTCGTTCCATCAAAGTAGATCATTCACAATGAAACAAAAAGATTGGTGAAAATTTTACTCCCACAATACTCCGACCTGACACTTGAACTATGGGTCTCTTATCCCAAATGCTCATATTATTTTTAGGATTTTTTTTTTTTTTTCAATTGAAAGTTAAACATGTATGGTAGTAGCATCTAGATGGGGCCAAAAATATAACCACAATAGGATTCGGATATGGTTTCCAGACCAACCTACACAATTTGTGGATCTGGGTTTCCACAATAAAACGTGCCTTACATGTCTCCATAAAATATACTCCAATAAACCATTTCTTTTTACATGCTATGAAACATTCATGGACCGGAAAGTAGAAGCGGTTGCAAAAAGAAGAAGAAAATAGAAGTGGGTCTCGTGTCAAGCACTTAGAAATTAAGCGACCTAACTTTCACTCTTGAATACGAACCACAGTTTAGATGCCACTACCCAAGGGAAAAAAAGAAAAGAAAAAAACAAAACAAAACAAAACAGATTTCATTGTCATTTTGTTAGTTGGTTAGCTGAAACTACTGCTCTTTTGAGATGCTTCCTTTGGGTGATTATATATATGCTTCTAATTAGTTATTTGAAACATACCACCTATACATAAAAGAAATATGTATTGCCACCACCATAAAGGAATCGTTTACTTGTACTATGTGGTTATGGAAAAGGTCTCAGTGAAGCAAAAATTAAGCTTAACATTGCCCGTGAAAGGCGATGACAAATGCTCTCACGAGTTGTCTACGACATACAAGTTCTGCCAAAGGTAAAGATGTATGTGGGGCAAATCATGTCCAAGAAAAGGATATCTTTTTCCAAGTTCGTGCGATCACTTCTTAATTTGCCTCTCATGTGTGATATTCCTTGTCAAGATAGCATTAGTTAAATAGTTGACATCATCTTGGGCATTTTATTGGTTGCCCTTTCCCTAAAATGGGTGTGCTACGTAGATGTGGTACCATATAGGAAAGAAAGAATAATAAAAAAAAAAAGAGTTGGAGTGGAGGGGTTGAAAAAATAAAAATCAGTCATGGACGGAGGTTTGGGCCATGTGCACCCATATGCACAAAAAGCAGTTAGGTAAATTTAGCCATTTGGGTTCAAATCAATTTTGGAGTTTGACTGGTCGAGATAAGAGACTAAAGGAAGTGGAGAGTTCCATAAGTAGAAGGTATGTGATGATAGTGGATGTGCTTTTCTATAGTGCACGCATAGTGTGTATTCAATGTATCATATCTTTTAGCATACCCTCTACTTCTGTTTTTGAAAATTCTTCTCTATGCCCTTATTCAGTTCTTGAAATTTTATGAGCAACCAATACAATTTCTTAAACTGTGCTCTAAGGGACGCATTAAGAAATTTTTAAAATGTTTTTACGTCACTACCTATCCATGAACCACTCATGGTTGGATCTTTTATCCAATGGCAAGACACCTCCAAAAGATAACGCACGAACATTTATTTTTTAATAAAACAGAAAAGCACTGTCCTACGTATATTTAGAAGAATTTTCACTATATTTATGTCAATATCTTAACTTAAAATACTTCCATAAATATAACAAATTGAATACAAATATGTGATTTTTTACTAACAAATTGAATGAATGAATTTTTTTTGCTTACCGACCATTTAGAAATAAATGTCTTAAATGTTGGTTCATTGCCCAACTCCATCTTTTGGCCCTTTAAAGAGCAAATAGTCAATATTTTAATAGTTAGATCCTATAACTTAGGTTAAGACAGAATTCGTCCATAGTTAATGGAGGACTCGCCGGCCTTCCATGGTTCCATGTGCTTTCAAGTTAAAGAAAATGACTTTTTCTTTCTTAGAAGACTCCATATATAGTTTTCTCTTATACAAGAAGAAAATGAAAATTTGAACTTTAAGCAATCTGAGACCCGGACTAAAATTGTAATTATATTCGATCCACATTCTCTCAGACATTGTAGGGAAAAAAAAAAAAAAAGCAATAATAATAATAAAATAACTGTTTATGGACAAGGATCACAAGTCACATTGAATATATATATATTTGCCATATAGCCCATCTGCCTCTACAATAATGAACCAAAGCAACTTGTTTTCAGCACCAATGGAGTTGTGGACAAGTGCAAGAAGACCTAAGGTAAAACATTTTTAGTGTCATCAAAATAATGAAAGCATCATCACATTTTAAAGCATGTTCTCAACTTTCAAGGCCTCGCCTTTCTTATGATTGTGTTCTAAGATGTCATTTATGTATTTTTATAATGAAAGAAAAGGGATAAAAAAAAATCCCATTTTCATGATGATTTTTCTGACCAGGTTTTCATGTTCTTGAATGAAAGGAACAGGTGATTGATGTCAGAGTAGTACTTGGTGTTTTGGTACTGCTATGTACAACTGGTGTTGAGAGCAGAAAATCTGTGAAGTGGGACTGTTTTGAGTATGCAGCTATAAGTTGCAGGGCTCATAGCGCATCGATTTCAGATTTCGGAGGAGTAGGAGATGGTACAACTGCAAACACAAAGGCTTTCCAAGCTGCAATTGATCATTTGAGCCTGTTCTCGTCAGAAGGTGGATCCTTACTCTATGTTCCTCCAGGAAGATGGCTGACTGGAAGTTTTAATCTTACTAGCTATTTCACTCTTTATCTTGACAAAGATGCTGTTCTTCTTGGTTCTCAGGTTAGAATTCATCAAGGTTTTAAATGATTTTTTTTTTTTTTTAATGTAAACTGGACTGGCTGATTTCTTCTTTCTTTCCTTTCTTCCATTTACTTATTTTCCTCTTTCATCATTGCTTGCTGACTAAATCAAAATAGGTCTACTAATATAAATTTGTCAAAATACCAAGAAGTTGCGCTCCCGTTTCCATCCATGGCACATAAGAGAAATAATTTCTTACAAGACACTCGAATAACTTGTTTTTGTTTTTCTTTATTCTTGTAAGAAATTATATAGGTTTAATTAACAATTCATTCTTCTCCATGATGATGTTATTTTCATGAGAAAAAAGAAAAAAGTGGGTCTGGTTAACATTCTATGTTGTGCGCTTGAATTTCTACCCCCACAATAATTATGGTTGAAATTAGCTCAAATTAGCTCACCTTGATAATATGGTCCAGTAGCCACCAGTAGAACCTTATCCAATGAATATTGTGGGCATAATTTGAAAGCTAAACAGTTCAACAGTCAGTGCACATAACTTGAAAGCAAATGGAACTCCACCAAATGAGATTAGATCAAGCCAGAGGAGAGGTGGAACAGAAATCAAGCCATGAGAGTGGACAAAACTACTTTAACCCTACTTCCAGTTTGACACAGTGGGCTTGCATTTGCAAAGCTCTTTTAATGTCATTGCTAGTGCTTGCATATTTATACAATAATGATACATTGATTTTAATACAGTAATGATGAATTATGTTGTTAATATTTCCTGCATTTTGAACAATTTATAAGGATGAGAGTGAATATCCACTGATTGAGCCCCTACCGTCCTATGGTAGAGGAAGAGATGCAGATGGTGCAAGGTATAGCAGTCTCGTTTTTGGAAACAACCTCACAGATGTTGTAATAACAGGTATACTATCAGTAATTTCATTTTTAAAGTACGAAGAAAAATACTTCACATATTGACCAAGAACGTATTCGGCTTTCAGGTGCCAATGGCACCATTGATGGTCAGGGTGAACTCTGGTGGACAAAATTTCGTGCCGGAGAGCTGAATTACACCAGGCCTTACCTCATAGAAATCATGTTCTCTACTGAAATTCAAATATCTAATATTACATTGATCAATTCCCCATCATGGAATGTTCATCCTGTCTATTGCAGGTATTTCTCCTTGTCCCTGGTTGTTTCAAGTAGTTGCATCCATTGTTCTTTACTTCTATAGCATTGATGACTGCCCTTAAATATTCTCCTGGACGAATGTGTGTTGATAAATTAAATGGAATGCAGCAATGTTGTAGTTCAAGGCTTGACAATTCTTGCACCAGTGAGGTCCCCGAATACTGATGGGATCAACCCAGGTAAAAATGTAGAAATTGAATTTGCTTCTATAGGCCAAGAACAGTTTTTCATTATCGTGCTTATTTCACAAAGCTGAAAAAAATGTCAGGAATGTCATTCTGGAAAGTTCTGAACATACATCTGATGGTTGAATTATTGGTTCTGTAACTTCTTCAGATTCTTGCATAAACACCAGAATTCAGGACTGCTACATAGTCTCTGGAGATGATTGTGTGGCTGTCAAGAGTGGTTGGGATGAGTATGGTATTGCTTTCGGGATGCCTACAAAGCAGCTCGTAATCAGAAGGTTGACATGCGTTTCACCAACCAGTGCAGTAATTGCACTGGGGAGTGAGATGTCTGGTGGGATTGAGGATGTTAGGGCAGAAGACATCACAGCTATTGATTCAGAGTCAGGTGTTAGGATCAAAACTGCAGTAGGAAGAGGAGGTTATGTTAAAGACATATATGTAAGAAGGATGACATTGAAAACAATGAAATGGGTATTTTGGATGACAGGAAATTATGGTTCTCATCCTGACAACAACTATGACCCCAAAGCAATTCCTGTGATTCAGAATATCAACTACCGTGACGTGGTTGCCGAAAATGTGACCATGGCAGCTAGATTAGAGGGCATTGCTGGTGATCCCTTTACTGGAATCTGCATATCTAATGTGACCATTGGACTCGCACAAAATCGAAAGAAACTTCAGTGGAACTGCACTGATATTGCAGGAATTACAAGTGAAGTGACTCCACAGCCCTGCGATCTGTTACCAGACCAGGGATCAGGAAAGATTGGAGCATGTAATTTTCCAGAAGATGACATGCCAATTGAGAATACGGAGGTTCAGACGTGCTCCTTCATTAGGAAGCATTGGTAACATGAAAAATGGTTTCTGAACACTGGAACATGTATTCTGTTTGTTCTAATGGTAAACATAGTGCGATTTAATCAGACAAAATCTGGTCATTGAGATGATTGAATGACATGTCCATGAAAACTCTCAGGCCGCACAAGTAAATTAACCTAACGGTAGAAGGAACAGAAACAGTATTCCTAGCACCCAATGGGAGAATTCCATGGAATAAGTATAATAATAGCATAAAAAATTATGATCCGCTATGATTTTATTTCCTTTTGCAGGTCTATTGAAATCATTCACTGAAAAAGAACAGAGTGCAATTCCTATGAGAAAAGTTCAAAAATCTAAAAACTACAAGCATTTAACACCAGCTTGCTCTGCAGCAAGTTTTCAACACCAAAGTTCACAAAGGAAACGGCAAACATCAGCATGGTTTACAACATATTTTATTAATATCTCAATTTTATTTGAGAATCATAAAGGGGAAAAAAATTAGATATTAGATCCATCATGATCAATACAGCATATATGATATTTGCTTTGCTCCTAGATCAAATTCCCAAATTCTAGTACTCACGAAAATCAACTCTACTTTTTACAATGCACTTCAGGCATTAACATTTTATATAGGCATCCAAATCTGTCAGAAGTCATGCTTAACTTCTTGATCATTAAATGACTTCAGCTTCTAGGTTCTAAGAATGTGGTGGTCATATTCTCCATGAAATAACAATGGATGACATTCCGAAGAGAAGATATTCCATTTCCCAACATCTCTCTGCAGCATATTCCTTTTCTCCTAACTGGGTGGATCAGGATTGAACTTCACTGATTCCTTCCAGATGAGCTCTTTGATGTGCTCTTCAGTACATGACGGGTGCTCAAAATCAAAATGAAAAGGCCTGGGGCAGACAGGCTCATCATTGATATCATGGAGAGATGACAAATATGGGTGACAAAGAGCCTCATCAACTGCAACCAAATGGAGAAGTATAACTATCTAAGAGTGGAGGAAAAAACAAAAAAGGACTCGAACTACAAGTCACTGCTTAAAAATGTTGCAAGTAAAATTCGAACTCTTTCTTCATACCAGTGATGCGATTAGTGGGATCAAACACAAGCATTTTCTCCAGTAGATCTACAGCTCCTGGAGACATATTGGGAAACCTAGCTGAGAAATTTTGCTTTTTGTATTGCGGAAGCTGTCTAACATATCTTCGGGCATTATTACTTCGCAGAAAACCAAGGCTAGCATCATCGGGCGAACCTATTAACTGTAGACAAAAACAAAAGGAATGAACTTATTATGTTAGTAGTCACATTAAATAAATAAACAAACTTTCTTCCTCGGTTTCATCACAATCAAAACATCCCAGAGATATGTGTTTTTTCTTGGTGGAATAAGAATTGAGTAATTCCAGAGTGTGGTTGCTCAGCATCATGGCTCTAACAATATATCAAAAACTAATCATCATTTTTCTTTCTAGACAATGAGATCAAAACATCTTGGGACATGTGATATCAGCAAGTCACCACGCACAGAGAATGCTGATGTTCATTTTCATGTCTAAATTGGCACATCCTTACTAATCAATCTAACAAAAGAGTAAACATCAACTAGAATGGAGAAATTACTAGCCTTGCATTAACTGTAGTGGAATGAAGGACACTTAAAGCGACCATTATGGCAAGCTATAATCAAAGAAAGATTCTTGGAAGAGAGAAATAGAGAGGATGAGAGGAGGTGGCAGGGGCCAAGGGGAACTAAACCAGAATGCCTTCACTCTAGTACAAGAGGCCCATGGATCCTTTATGAGTGCATAAAATGGTGGAAAGGATGGTGCACCATAAAATTAACTACATGTGACACATAAAAGGCATACCTCTGTAATAAGCCTCAGCTGATGAACATAATCTTTCCCTGGAAATAAAGGTTCTTTGGTCATAATCTCACCAAAGATGCAACCAACAGACCAAATATCAATTGCAGCAGTGTACTCTGAACAATTAAGGAGCAACTCCGGTGCTCTGTACCAACGAGTGACCACGTATTCAGTCATGAAATCTGTTTCAGACGTTGTCCTTGCCAACCCAAAGTCTCCAATTTTAAGGTCACAATTTGAATTGAGAAGCAAATTGCTAGGCTTAAGATCACGATGCAGAACACTGGCTGAGTGTACATATTTTAATCCTCGTAATAACTGGTACAAGAAGTACTGCAAAAGATTTCATGGAGAATCTATCAATCACACATGCAATGTCAAAGTCAACGTTATTCGAGCAAGTCACGACATCTTAACTCAAATTCAACAAGATAAAAATTTCACTTTTTGACATGGATAATGTTCCAGTACACAAATTCAACATTTCGACAAATGCCTCTTCAAATTTAGCATTGTCTCATTAAAAGTGGACTTTAGAAGAAAACAGTACTTATTTTCTCTGAAATTTAGAAATAAAAATACTCCATATTTGCCAATAACATCTATTTAAGCTGTAAATCTTATTAATTACACTGGACCAAAGAGTATGCAACAATGTTCTTCAAGTTCATTAGCTATTTTATCCTTGCATACACTAAGCAACAGACAGAATCAAAAGAAACTATTTTACCTACATTAGCTTAGTCAATGCAAGCATTCATTTATATTTTTGCAAAGCAGCTCCAGAAAGGGAAGTGGAAGCCTAAATTATACAGATTATAAGTTATGATGGCCACTTTAAGATTCTAGATTTTTAATTGTGCTCACTAAATTTCTTCACAACAAAGCCAAGCACTTCATACTGCAATAAGTTGAGAGATAGCATCCCCAAGTTTTAATAATCATTATGATAACATTTATTCCCTTTCTTGCTGCTGTGATTTTTGCCAAAAAAATAGATTGAACTATTTAATTCCAACTATGTGATCAGAGAATCTAATAAAACAAAAAGCAAGCACTTAGATAAGCTATCAAGTTTTGCACTGAAACAGTTGCAAGGTATAAAGCAAAAACATTGTTCTTGGTGCCAAACCTGGCAATGATCATCATTCAGTGCTTGGTCAGAACGAATAATCTGATGAAGATCAGTGTCCATTAATTCATAAACAATGTAGACATCATTGAAGGCGTCCTTTTTGGGTGGGCGTATTATGTCCCTGATAGCAATAACCTGCAGATAGGAAAGAAGTGAAAATCCAAACACATACAGAGCAACAGAGGATGGAAGAGTGATGAATGTAGAACCACTAATGAGCACACTAATATAGGTAAAAGAGAAATAAGTGATAAAGCATATGTGACCAACAAGTATCATGGATTTGGCTGTAGGGAGAAACGATCATCACAAAACAAGCAAGGAAACTGCAAAACTTATAGGAAAGTTGCATGCTTACATTTTCATGATCCATGTGGCGTAGAAGCTTAATCTCTCTCAGAGTCCTTTTAGCATCTATTCTGTTGTCAAATGCATTACCAATCTTCTTTATAGCAACTTCCTCGTGCGTATCCGAATTCACCGCAGCACTGAAAAGAACACGTGGATTTAGAACCACTCTTCCCACCATTGAATAAACTGGCCTCATAAACAGACATGAAGAAATCTTTCCAACAAGTGGATGAGGAAGAAGAAGGTATATTTACCTTATTTTCCAACCAGGAATCACATAAAATATGTAGGAACAAAGCATTAAGGATACGAAAATGCAATATAATGACCAATAAGCATAAATGGAACTGGCAACTCCTACATGGTATAAAACGCAAAACTTACCCACAATTCATCATGATCCCAGAAAAACAAATTGAAACTAACATCAGAAAACTGCAACAGATTCTCTAGGCCTTCTATAAAACACTAAACTATATATTAGGTACTATTTACAAGTCCCCTTTTGGGGAACTATTCGCCTCTCTTTCCTCTATGGAAAGTCTTGATCTTTCTGGAATAGACGGAGTTATACTAGCCTAAAAAAACCTAATACCCTAGTAAACAAAGTAAGGTCGATAACACACCAGCAACAGCTTTGTGCATGAGATAGATAACCACACACATATTCATCAAATTTACCCAAAATTTTCAAATTAATTTATAACCAAATTAGGCAACAAGAAGCATCTTTATTGAAAAAGAAAAAAAGGTTCAATTATCCAATAAAAGAAAGCTTCTTTAGCCATATAATCACAACTAAAAGAACCCATTAACAAAAGATAACTCAAAACTCTCCAAAACCCATTTGTCATACAAGCCAAAAGAACCAATCAAAATATAAAAACAGAGTTTATATATCAAATACACGCAAAAATGAATAAAATCCGAAAAGCGCATAAACAGAAAAAACTTACCAAACAATGCCATAAGCACCCCGACCAATAGGTCTAATAGGAGGGACATACTTGCTAGAAACCTCAAACAAGTTACCATAAACATTATATTGAACATAACGACCCCCATGAGTTAAGACTCCTTTAATTTTAGTTCCATGGTGATGACCAGCTCCTCCTCCCTCTGATGCTGAACCAGAGCTGTTAGACTCTTTAGTAGTACTAGTAGAAGCCATAAAACAAAGTTTTTTCTCTCTCAAAATCTCTTGTTTTCTTTTTAGTGTTTGGCTTTTTTTTCTGAGTGAATTGAGAATGGAAAGTTTTGTTGTTGAAAAGCAGAGAGCTTTCTTTCTTTGTTTCTTTGGAGGTTTGAATGTCCGTGAAATGAAGCTGACTTTTCCCCTTTTAACGTTCAAACATTTTTTAATTTTTTTTAAAGAAAGAAAGTAGTAAAACTTTTGAATTAGTTTGATCTGCTGCGCTTAACACCCACCTTGAAAGCCGCCTCGGAGCCAGTCATGGCGTGCCACTTATCCATGGATTTACCTTTTGTTTGGATAATTCCTCCAAAGGAGGAAAGAAAATAAAGAAGAGAGAGCGAGATAAAAGAAAAGAGAGACGAAAGAAAATCATTTTTCACTTGTTATTTGGATAAGAATGAAAATAAAATGAAAGAAAAGAAAATGTATTATTATATATTTACTATAATGCCCTTAGGATTATATTTTTATTTTGATTTTTTATTCTCATTAATTTTTTTCATAACATTTATTTATTTATTTTTCCTTTTTAATAAAAAAAATAAATATAAAAAATATAAAATAGACAAAAAAAACTAATTTATTAATTTTTAAAATAGAAATAACTAAATAATTTATTTTTCGAAACTGTACAGAACAATGTATAATTTATTCCTACACAAAATTACACTTAGTTTTGATTTATTAAAAGCTTATCTAAAAATATTTCTTAATTAATTTAAAGAAAAAAAGAGAAAAGAATAATTGAAATAAACTCCAGAGCTACACTAATCCATTGCAGCCCGTGGGATGGGAGGAAAATTAGAATTTATTATTATTGTTTTCTTGTCACATGGATGGAGCAAGGGTAAAAACGAAAAAGCAAACCAAATGAAAAGTCAGCTGCAGGTTTCCTTCAGTTTCCTCCTAAAATTGAGAGGAAAATGGGTCCCACGAAAATATTATTTATTTATTATTTTTTTTCTTTTCTCTCATTTCCTCTGCAATCCAAACGGAGGAAATTTTTCATTTTCACCTCATTTTTTTTCTCTCCCCCACTTTCATCCCTATCCAAACAGGGAGTTAACCTTGAACATTTTTAGGATATACATATATATATATGAGAGAAGATAGTGTGCTTCAACCCTTTTTTTCCCTCTCCCTCCGATTTCATTCCAATTGTGATGAATTTTTTATTGATATTTTTGTATATCCAAATGAAGGTTTTTTAATTAGATCTTAAATAAACCATACATCTTTGAAATGATTGATTTGAAGCTATAATGAATTTATTTTTCATAATATTTTATTGAATTTGAATATGAGATATTTTATCATTCAACCCAATATGTTTGAAGCTCTTGATATTTTTTAAGCTGGTTTTGAATTATTTTTGTGTGAACTAAAATTAATAGTTTAAATTGTCGTAAAAGCTAATAAAAGTTGACAGCTAGTATTTTTACTTGTAAGTAATATTAATTATATCAATTTTTTTTTTCCTAAAAAGAATTGAATGGGTGGATTTCATTTTGGAATTGCATATTGTAATTGAAATTTTGTTAAATGGTGGTTTAGGGGAAAGTACTGTTCTTAGAATCCGAAGTTGCTTGAGCGTTTCAGCTGGTGTAGACAAGCTTTTCATTTCTGTGAAGAACAAGAATTATAGGGTCTAGATCCAACCCTCTAAAATAAATCAAGGGGTCGATTTTTCTCTGACCAGGAACATCTTTCAGGTTACTAAAACAATTCATACTTAATTATTTCTGAAGACCAAGTAGAATTACATCATCGAAAAAAACAAAAAGTAGAATTAAGAAATTGGAATTCTTCATTGGTAGTCCTTCGTCTTGGTCATTATGTGATCACGAACCTCCTCGGCAATCGCTTTAAAAACACTGTACATGTGTGTTGTCTAGAAAGTGTCAAAGTATATCAACAGATCGATCTACCAGTAATAACTAGCTGCTTTAAGGATTTGGTGGTTGTAGGGTCATGGGATTTGCCTCTCGATCCCTCACGCCCTGCTTTCTTTTTTCTCTTGGCAGGTATAGCATGATAGCAATCTCTATAGCTTTTTGCCTTTCCAAGCTGCACATGCTTAGCTTATCATGCACTGTCCAGATACTCAGCATTTCCTCTGTATTTTGATGCCGAAATAGCAATTAATTAATGAGTACGGCAAAAACACTAAAAAAGGGTCTCCTTTAGTTGGTTTGTTAGAGAGGATGCAGGGCTTTCATTGCTTGGTTGCCTTCGTCAGAAAAAGTAGACAGCGTAGGAGATTTTGAGCTTTGAGATCAATTTATTTAGATGTCAATCCAATAAAAGATAGTAGTCGCAGAGGAATAAATCCTGATCACGTCAAGTTAACAAAAGATGAGTTGGGCCAATTTCAGCAAATGTTTTATGATAATAAAATTGTACTGGGCCAACTAATTATTCGAGTATAATTTTAAGGTTAAACGTTGAATGATTATCTTAAGATAATAATTTTTTTTTTTAATAACAAGAGTATCATCGAATCAGTTTTCGCATACCTTAAGATTAATTTCTTCTTAAATATGGTTAAAGAACACTCCTCAACACTTTTTTTTATTTTTTTTATTTTTATTTTTTGAGAAAATAATGACAACAAAATTGATTGAGTGAAGTAATATTATGTGATGAATGCAAAATACAAGTTTAAAACCTATTAATTTCTTAAAATCCAAGTCATGATAAAGATATAGTTCTCGTGAATTTTATAGTTTTGACAAAAATGGCTTCTTTTTTACCAAATTATAATATTTAATACTTAATTTAATTCGAAGAAGCTACTTTAGAATTTTTAGAAACCCAACGAAAAAAGGAAAATGAAAAGAATAATTACTGCAATAATATTTGGTATACAACAAGAAAATAAAATGGGGAGATTGATGCATTATGACTTATGAGATGGACCAGCTTATTGGGCGGGATGAGAACCTTCAGTTTATATGGGCCTTAGACCATGAGTTGGTGCTTAAGCTAAGCCCATTTACAGCTTTGTAAAGCTCAAGTAAATTCAACATTCTAAAAAAAAAAAAAGATCCAGCCCACTAAAAATTTATTGGATCCAACATTTTCCCATGTATGAGTCACAAATTTATGGGCCAGTTTAAGTCCAAAACGACGTGACGTTGCAAAGAAAAGAGAAGAGGCGTCTCGAAACCCGGGAAAATGAATTCCGAAACCTTCCAGGGAGTCTCCAGGTCACCGCTGAAGCCACCAGAACTCCTTTCTCTCTGACCATCATGCAAATATATAAGCACAGCTCCCTTTGTCCTCTCTAGCTTTCAAGATCATCAAAAGCCAAGAAACTACTCCATTCCATCCCCAACTAAAACAACGTAGCTGCTGCAAGGACATATTTCTGGTTAGAATCATCAAATGACAGACGTGAAGATGGAAGACACTGAGGTATTTGCATTCCAGGCTGAGATAAACCAGCTTCTCGGTCTTATAATCAATACTTTTTATAGCAACAAGGAAATCTTCCTTCGTGAACTCATTAGCAACGCTTCTGATGTAAGTAAATCACTCTAAACCTCTCCTTTTTCCTCTATAGTTTTTAGTTCATGTGTTATTTAACAAGAATTGGAGGGAGAAAAGAATATACAGTCAACAAACAATAATCAAGAAAGCAGAATTTTTCTGTCTTGCGTTTTGGTTCGGATATATATATATATATATATCAGGACCTTGTAATACTAAGCAAAAAAAAATTAGTGTTAGCAGAGAGGAGGAAAAAAATAAAAGAAAAAAGACACAGATGGGGTTTTTTTTGGATTTTGAGAATGAAATATTTGGATTTGTTGTTTTAATTTGTAGGCACTGGACAAGATAAGATTTGAGAGCTTGACAGATAAGAGCAAGCTTGATTCTCAACCCGAGCTCTTCATCAGGATTATTCCTGATAAGGTTAATAAGACCCTGTCTATTATTGACAGCGGAGTTGGCATGACTAAAGCAGGTAAATAATAAATTACATCACTAATGAATTTGCACCCTGTTCTGTAAATGTCTTTGTATGATCAATTTTAATGGAATGGGTACTTGTGTTCTTAGAATTGGTGAACAACCTGGGTAAAATCGCAAGGTCCGGGACGAGGGAATTCATGGAGGCATTACAGGCTGGAGCTGATATGAGCATGATTGGACAATTTGGAGTCGGGTTTTACTCGGCTTTCCTGGTGGCTGACAAGGTGATTGTGACCACAAAGCACAACGACGATGATCAGTATGTTTGGGAGTCTCAGGCTGGAGGGTCCTTTGTTGTCAGAAAGGATGTTGATGGAGAGCCTTTGGGTAGAGGAACAAAGGTCTCACTCTTCCTCAAAGATGATCAGGTAACAATTGCAATGTTTTAGTTTTAATCTCTGCAATTAAGAGAATTTTGGATAGCAGACTGGTTAACAGGATAGTCAGGTTTTAGTCTTAGAAGCTTTATATTGAGTGCTAAATCTTGGGTTCTGTATTCAAATCCATGATAGCTCGAGTGCTCAATCGTTAAGGTTTATGTTTAATACATATCTGGTTGAAATGGGGTTTAATCCTACACATTTTCTTCCTTGTAATGATATTGATTCAATCTGCTCTCACCCTAATGCAGTTGGAGTACTTGGAGGAGAGGAGATTGAAGGATCTTGTGAGAAAGCACTCTGAATTCATTAGCTACCCTATTTACCTGTGGACTGAGAAGACTGTTGAGAAAGAGATCAGTGATGATGAAGATGAGGAAACCAATAAAGAAGAAGAAGGTGAGGTGGAGGATGTTGATGAGAACAAAGAAAAGGATTCCAAGAAGAAGAAGAAAATAAAAGAAGTGACACATGAATGGGAACTTATCAACAAACAGAAACCTATTTGGTTGCGCAAGCCGGAGGAAATCAGTAAGGAGGAGTACGCTTCCTTCTACAAGAGCCTCACCAATGACTGGGAGGAGCCTCTTGCTTGGAAACACTTTTCTGTTGAAGGGCAGCTGGAATTCAAAGCTCTCCTATTCGTTCCAAAAAGAGCCCCGTTCGATCTTTTTGACACGAGGAAGAAAATGAACAATATCAGACTTTATGTCAGGCGGATATTCATTATGGACAACTGCGAAGAGCTCATTCCTGAGTATCTAGGATTTATAAAGGGTGTTGTGGATTCTGATGATCTACCACTCAACATTTCTCGTGAGATGCTGCAGCAGAACAAGATTCTGAAGGTAATCAGGAAGAATTTGGTGAAGAAGTGTGTTGAGATGTTCAACGAGATAGCTGAGAATAAAGAAGACTACAACAAATTCTATGATGCTTTCTCTAAGAACATTAAACTGGGTATTCATGAAGACGGCCAAAACCGAACCAAGCTTGCCGACTTGCTGAGGTACTACTCAACAAAGAGTGGTGATGAGATGACTAGTCTGAGGGACTATGTTACAAGAATGAAAGAGGGCCAGAAAGACATGTACTACATCACTGGCGAGAGCAGGAAAGCAGTCGAGAACTCTCCGTTTCTTGAGAAGCTCAAGAGAAGGGGGTACGAAGTGCTTTTCATGGTGGATGCCATTGATGAGTACGTTGTGTCACAATTGAAGGAGTATGATGGGAAGAAGCTAGTGTCAGCGACTAAGGAAGGGCTGACTGTTGAAGATGATGAGGAGGAGAGAAGGAAGAAAGAAGAGAAGCAGCAGTCTTTTGAGAACTTGTGCAAGACAATCAAGGAAATACTTGGAGACAGGGTGGAGAAAGTAGTGGTGTCTGATAGACTTGTGGACTCCCCATGTTGTTTAGTCACGGGTGAATATGGATGGACTGCTAACATGGAAAGGATCATGAAAGCTCAAGCTTTGAGGGACAACAGCATGTCTTCTTACATGTCTAGCAAGAAGACTATGGAGATCAATCCAGACAATCCAATCATGGAGGAACTGAGAAAGAGAGCGGAGGCAGATAAAAACGACAAATCAGTGAAGGATTTGGTGCTACTACTCTATGAGACAGCTCTTTTGACTTCAGGTTTCAGCCTTGATGATCCTAACACATTCTCTGCAAGAATTCACAGGATGCTGAAGTTGGGTCTGAGCATTGATGAAGATGAGACCGGCCGGTATGAAACAGAAATGCTGCCATTAGAGGAAGAAGTGCATGAGGAGAGCAAGATGGAAGAAGTTGACGAAGTATGACCGCCAGCATCAGACGGTGGTTATGTCAAATGTCTTTTAGTGAGTTCTTTCTTGCCTGCGTTTCCCTTTCGAATGTTGTTCTGATGCGTGTTAAATTTTAGGTTTGGTTGTTTTGCTTTCTTTTCTAGCACGAAGAAGTAATAAATTTGGCACTTCTCATCATAGATGTAAATACCCCCTGCAATTCCCGTCCGTTCTGCATGAGTTCATCTAACACCATTAGTAGCGTGAGTGACCTACAGGTGTCAAAAAAAAATTCAATTTTCAGACCCTTAAATTTCGACGAAATTGTCTGCAACGATTGGCGAACGAACTATTTCATGATCCGACATTTCAAATCTACCTATTTGATGCATAAACCAGCAAAAAACAAAATGATTTGAAGCATACATCATATTCGTTTAAAACCCATGAATGCAAGCCCCATCGATTGGATTGGGAACGGAAACATGGAACGCAAGATGGGAGGCAAAATGGCAAATCATGCAGGCTCAATTATCACGTAAAAACACAAAACTTCCTATAAAAGCCGAATCATGATGCAAGACGCAGTTCGATGTTCACTGGAAACTTTATTGTCCAGTAGAAGACACTGACAGGGATGAAATGGGGTAGACTCATCTAGCAACAATATAGACATCTGGGAGAAAAAAGCATAAGATAATTCTGAAGATATCATTGAGGTGACTAGTTATTCAAAATTTTGATTCAGCAGAAACAAATATAACAAAATTTGGGACCATCCATCTCATTGGTAGAACATCCTGCAATAAATCTGTAACTGCCAGCCACTAGTATTGATGTAAAAGCAGAGCAAAGTTATATAAACAATCATTCTTTCCAGGTAGGTTTGAGCTAGCAGGCCCTGGGGCAAAACTACCACCACCCCGACCAAAGCCAGGCCTTCCACCAGCGCCCTGCAGTTTTGTTACAGTAAACAAGTCAGCTACTCGAATAGAAAACAAATAAAAAAAATGATTGGCCAACAGACGTCAGGAAAAATTTAATAAACAGAAACTAGCGAACATTGAATATATAGGTAGCCATCTAAACTTGGTCTAAATTTGATAATTATTGAAGGAAAAAAATTTGCAGTTCCCGATTTGCTATGATCGTAGTAGAAACCAATGCTTGATTACCAAAGACATAGCATAAACAATTAAAAGATGAACCTCTTACTACAATACCATGCTACATTATTATCCCCATCTGATCTAGACTCCGATCCTAAAACTTTGCAATCACACAAGCAGATGGATCTTGCAATCATAACAAATCGCCTATGATTACCCTCAACATTGACACCATATAAGAAATGCAGAAATCAGCAGCACCCAAAAAAGAACAAACTAGAAACAACTGAATAAATAAGAAAAAAGAGAAACTATTGATCAATAAAAGCAAAGAAATTACCCCATAAGTTGGTCGATAGTCAGCAGGAGCGCCACCCTTATCACCAAGGTCACCACCAGGTCCTCGAGGTCCTCCACGATACCCATCCCTATCACCAAACCTCCTCTCTCCCTCATAGCGAGGTGGGCCGCTAATTTACAACAAAGAAACCAAAATCATATTTGAATCCATTCAATTGCTATAAATTTAAAAGGGGCAAAAAAGAATCTGAATGCTGTTCGTGACCAAATGCCTACAATAAAGCTACTGTATCTCCTTAAAAGCCAAATCAAGTCAATGTCAAAATTCTTGATTACAGGGAATTAGAATTACCGTGGGCGATCGCCTGGTGGGCCTCCAAAGGGTCTACCAGTGGGCTTGTTCTGCTTCTTCAAAGTGGCAGGCACTATTTCCGATGGCAAATTGAGGTAAGTTCTTAAGAACTCAATTCCATCATTAGTGAGATACCAGTAATAATGCATCCAAGCAAATGTCTCCCGAACATACTCCTTTGACTTGAAGCTCTGCATCAGCTTAATCACTTGTAGATTCGGCACATCGATTTCTGGATGCTTTGCAAGATTATAGTCTTTCTTCGCATAGCACACTCCCTCTATTTAAAAAAAAAACACACAAATCACAATAGAAAACGATAAAAATCAATAAAAACCCTAAAAAAATACGGATATAAAGAGAGAGACCTTGGAAGAGGTACTTAGAGATCTCGCGGCGGTTCTTCTCTGAAATTATCTGCAACAGTCGATAAAAGTAAGTTTCTGTTTGGATTCCGAGAAAATTAAGCAAGGAGAGTAAAAAACAAATCAGATAAACCAAACTGAGAATTATATCATCATTTTCAGAGTGAAAGGTTACCATGGTTAATTTTGTTTGCAATGAGGAAGCAGAAACGGCGGCGAAGAGATTTCACAGTACCGGTGGCTAGAAAAACTATAGAAAAACCATAATGCCTTCGAGATTATAGTTTTTATAAGCTGTTTTCTGGGTTCCATTTTGGGCTTCCATTTGAGACAATATGGGTCTTTTGGGCCCATTCACTATAATAAAACTATGGGCCACCTATGATGTGGTAGGTATATGTGATACCAAATGGTAAAATTTATCTAACTGGACCTAAATCACAATTTTCACTATTAATTAATTAAAAAAAATACTAGATAACCATATTTAATCCAACTGTTAATTATTTACTTTGTCTTACAATAAGTTTACTCATCAATTCAGAAGGTCAATATATTTAATTTTAGCCTACCTTATTTAATTAAATTTGTTGACAAGAAAGTTTTGAAAACCAATATTTAGAAAATTTAAAAGTTCGTTGAAAAAATAACCATAATGATAAAGATTGTTATGATAATAGTAAAAGAATTAGACGAAAAGACAATAGAAAAATAACTTCACTACGAAATAAACTGAATGCAAGGGATCAAAACTTCAAAACAAATTTCTTAGTCTCTACAAAAAACACTTCAACAACTAATGAACAATCAATTATATTTATAGATTTTAGGATTAGGAAGAGAATTGTAAAAGACTAAAAAATTTTCATGAAAAGTTGAATCAAATAATTCTTGTATGCACCATCATGGATGATTATGGATAATTAAATCCCATTAAAGAATATGATTAATGGTGAGAATAAGGATGGTCATGGACATTTATTATTTCATAACACTTCCTCTTGAATATCCATCCTATAAGAAATATATTTCGTTAAAACCTTATTAAAAAAAAAAAGAACCAATGGGAAAAAAAATCCTAGTGAACAAAAAAAGTATAATATTTCATGTACACAGTAATCTTTATGTTGGGCTCTTTCGTTAAAACATTATTTAAGATTTTTAAGATGACACATCAAATCTTCCGAATCGTCTTCTCAAAAGTCGTTATAGGTAATATCTTAGTTAACAAATCTATAAATTCTCACTTGATTGAATTTGTTGAATATTAATACCACCATTTCATTAAAGATCATATGTGAAAAATAATTTTGGCAATATATGTTTTGTTCCGTCACTTTTGAAGTATCCTTCCTTTAATTGAATTATGCAAATAATATTATCTTCGTATAATATTTTTGAAACTTCCTTGCTAGTGGATCAACCGTGTGTCTCTCGAATATGATGAGTCATTGATCTTAACTAAACATATTTTGAACTTGTCTTATGAATTGCTAATATTTCGCATAGTTTGAAGATGTAGCAGCTACGGCTTGCTTCATGAAACATCATAATATAATTGCATCACTATGTATAAATACATATTCAGTTTGTCATTGAACTTTGTATAGATCAAATAAATAACTTGCATCTACATAACCAATTAATCATGACTTTAATTTACTAAAATAAATAACATATTAATTTTTTCTTAGAGATAACGTAGTAAATGTTTAATTCTATTTTAATATCTTCATATTGTAGCAGAACTATATTTTGCTAATAAATTTATAGAAAAAAGATATATTCGATCAAGTATTATTAAAAAATATCAATGCATCAATGCCAATAAGATATGGTACTTCGGGATCAACTAGTTCTTCGTTATCTACTCAAGATCGAAAAAAATTATTTTGGATATTAAGTGAACAAACTATTATTGAGCTAACCAATGAATGAGTCTTATCCATACGGAATCGTTTTAAAACTTTATATATATATATAGTTTAACCGATGAATAAAAATCACATCCTCTAAGTGTTTGAATTACGAGTCGACATACAATTTTGTGTTTCTAAGATCTTTCATGTCAAATTCTCTTTTTAGATAACTTTCAAGCACTTAGAATCTCTTCGTAAATTTTAATAATATTTAAACCAACATATATAGCAATTATCGCAAACCTTTTTCTCAATTTCTTTATAAAAACGTATGAACAAATAAGGTTATTTTTATAGCATTCTTTCAATAAATATTCACTAAGGTAATTATAACACATGTGATTAAGTTAGTAATAAAGAGTAGGTATTAAAAAATAAATATAAAAATTATAGCATAAATTGAATTTTTAAAACTAAAATAATAAAACAAATACTAAAATAATCTTTATAAAGATCTCTATAATTTATTTAAATATATATTTTCTAGAATGGATATTACATGCTTTAAACATTTTAAGTCCTTTCATATAGATATCATTTTCAAGTGAATAAATAAGCTATGATTACATCCATTAGATGCATATAAAGTTTTTCATATATTGTCGAGCTAACAAGAAAACAAAATGTAATTGCATTCATTACATGAGAATATGTCTTTATATAGTTAATGTTAGTTCTTTGCAAAAACCCTTGTGTTATAAGTCTTGCTTTGTATCTCACAATCTCATCTTTCTCATTTCGTTTTTGCATAAATCTCTATTTGTATCTCACTAACTTAATATCTTCGGATGCTTTAACTATGAGTCTAAAGCTATTCGTTTTATAAGAGAATATAATTCTACCTAAATTACTTCTTTTTATCTAGGCCAATTATCTCCATATCGGTATTATATAATTAATTTAGGCTCGAGATCCTTATTTTTATTCAAAATATCAATTGCAACATTATATGAAAAAATATTATCAACAAACTTTTCTTTTCGATCCTATTTTCTCTTTGTATTAACATAGTTATCAAAACATCTTGATTTTCCTTAAGGATTTGGACTTCTTTTGAAAGCTTCGTTATAAAAAAATATTTTGGACCATTTTGTGAATATCCGTATCCTTTATATTTTTTTCTTGATTATTTTTCCTTTTTTTCTTTCGATAATTTTTATGTTCAAATCTGTTTCCTATGCTTCAAGTGTATTTTAGATTCATTTGTAATAATATTAATATGTGTCCTACTAGGATATCAATTCTAATAAAAGCATTCTTAAACAAGACATGCATTTTAGTTACTCTTTTTGGATCCGAAAATGCATCTAATAGTTGGTTTGTAAGACTTTTTAAATGAATTATCTTTTAAAATTTTTGTTTATATTGTTTTCTATGATGATCAAGATGATGTAAATTTCGCTTACACTACGTCGAATAGGACTCCCTAAAATGAAATTCCTATTTATAGAGTTTATTTACAAGTTCGGAGTCGCCATCAAGTATTAAGGAACGAATAACCTAAAGTAGCACTAGTTTAGAGATTTTATGATAAGGAGTTGGTTAAACTTTTACAAACATATTTATTCACCCTAAAAGTGTCCTTTCCGAAAAAAGGTACCATGTCTAATTTAGTTCTAAATTTAACTCCTAAAATATTATATTTATGCTAAACTATTTTCTCATTTTCTTAAACTCCAATTTTTAAAGCAAAATTAAATTTTTTTAGTTTTAGGCATGACATCTTATTGAAACGATTGTCGGTCCCCTTCGTCGGGTGACACGTCGATTAAAACATCGGATTCACTTTAAGTTTTAACACACACCGGCGTGTCAAAGGACATCATGACTAAACGGTTTTTTTGGTGACGTTCGTCCCTATTAGATAGGAGACTTCTTCGAGAATATTATTTTCATTTTTGTATATGAATATTTAAAATCATTTTTTCTATTTTTGGTAAAAGGCAATTATCAATCCTAAAATCGGGAGACTTGACAATTAGTCTACCCATTAATCACATACTCGAAATAAAAATCTACTATTACATTAGTGGAATAAAATAAAGGAAATTCAAACATTGAACTAGAAAAAAAAACACATAAAATAAATTCAAGATTAAATAAAATGAAACTTGGGATCTTTTGTCTTTTTTCTCTTTTGACGAGTTGGATCGATCCGACTCAATTTGCTTTCTTCTTCATTTTTTTTTTTTTTTACTAGTCCGGACTAAATTTGGTCTAGTCCAAATCCGACCCCGTATGCCCCCAACCCACATCCTTCACTGCCCTAAACCATTAACTCTCTTCATTTCTTTTTTTTTTTTTTTGATCAAACTCTCTCTCCCTCATTCTTTCACGTGATTCCTCTCTCTTTTTTTCTTTCTTCTTCTCCTCTCTACCTGCATTCCATCGGTGAACCGGAATCCCCCCATTTTTCTTTTTCCTTCCTTTTTTTTTCGATTAGGGCTACTTCGGTTCAGTCCTCTCTCTCTCTCTCTTTCTTTCTCTCTCTTGTTCATTTTGCTCCAATTCAAAAACAAAAATTGAACCTAAGAATTAATAAAAAAATTAGGACGAGAGTCATGTTAGGATTACTCGAATCAAAATCAATGGAATGAAGAGTAATTTTTAAGACCTTGTGTTGTTGTTGCTATTAATTTTGGAGAAGGGAGTATAGTAAAGTCAAAGGAATGGAATATAATTCTTTTTGGACCTTGTTGCTGTTATTGATGTTGCAAGGAATTGGAAGATCGTGACTCGATGATTGAGTTGTTGTTGTTAGGTCCGGTGTTTATGAATGTCTTGTAACATGCGTGAGACTAGAAAATGAGAAGGGTGGTGAATGATTGTAATCGAACCTAGAAAATCCAAAAACGATTGAGTAACTAGACTAATGATTGATGAACTGGTACCCAAAAACTTGAAGGTCGTGAAGAACATGAAGAACACTCCCTAGAAATTCCCGAAAAGCAACAACCGAAATTTCAAAACAATATTCTTTTTCCTTAATTTTTACTCTCACTCAAACCCTAAATTTCTTCTTCCTTTTCTACCTAGAATTTCACTCTAAGCGAAGAACAACTTGCCCGGAATTTAAAGGCCTAAAGAACACCGCCCAAAAAAAAAAATGTTGAAGAATACTACCGCCCCAAAACAAAAATTTCTTCTTTCTTTTCGATTTTCACTCCCTCTCTCAACCCATAACTCTCCTACTTTTTTTGGATCCCCCCTTTATAAACATTTTAATCCAAGTTTCATTCCAACTCAAACATCTTAAAAC